CAGATCCTCCTCTCCACCCTCTCCGAGCTGGGCATCTCCGGCGCGGCTCACTCTTGGATTTCGTCCTACCTGACCGGTCGCTCCTACCAAGTGGCGTGGCGAGAAGCTGTCTCCGCACCACGTGCTCTCACCACTGGTGTCCCCCAGGGCTCAGTTCTAGGCCCTCTCCTATTCTCGCTATACACCAAGTCACTTGGCTCTGTCATATCCTCACATGGCCTCTCCTATCATTGCTACGCTGACGATACACAACTAATCTTCTCCTTTCCCCCTTCTGATAACCAGGTGGCGAATCGCATCTCTGCATGTCTGGCAGACATATCAGTATGGATGACGGATCACCACCTCAAGCTGAACCTTGGCAAGACGGAGCTGCTCTTCCTCCCGGGGAAGGACTGCCCGTTCCATGATCTCGCCATCACGGTTGACAACTCCGTTGTGTCCTCCTCCCAGAGTGCGAAGAGCCTTGGCGTGACCCTGGACAACACCCTGTCGTTCTCCGCTAACATCAAGGCGGTGACCCGATCCTGCAGGTTCATGCTCTACAACATTCGGAGAGTACGACCCTGCCTTACACAGGAAGCGGCACAGGTCCTAATCCAGGCACTTGTCATCTCCCGTCTGGATTACTGCAACTCGCTGTTGGCTGGACTCCCTGCCTGTGCCATTAAACCCCTACAACTCATCCAGAATGCCGCAGCCCGTCTGGTGTTCAACCTTCCCAAGTTCTCTCATGTCACCCCAAGTTCTCTCAAGTTCTCTCATGTCACCCCGCTCCTCCGCACACTCCACTGGCTTCCAGTTGAAGCTCGCATCTGTTACAAGACCATGGTGCTTGCCTATGGAGCTGTGAGGGGAACGGCACCTCCGCACCTTCAGGCTCTGATCAGTCCCTACACCCAAACGAGGGCATTGCGTTCATCCACCTCTGGCCTGCTGGCTCCCCTTCCTCTGCGGAAGCATAGTTCCCGCTCAGCCCAGTCAAAACTGTTCGCTGCTCTGGCACCCTAATGGTGGAACAAGCTCCCTCACGACGCCAGGACAGCGGAGTCACTCACCACTTTCCGGAGACATTTGAAACCCCACCTCTTTAAGGAATACATGGGATAGGATAAAGTAATCCTTCTACCCCCCCCCCACCCCCCCCCCCCCCCCCCCCCCCCCCCTAAAAATAAATAAAAAATAAAAAATAAAAATAAAAATTGTAAAGTGGTTATCCCACTGGCTATAGGGTGAATGCACCAATTTGTAAGTCGCTCTGGATAAGAGTGTCTGCTAAATGACGTAAATGTAATGTATATGTTTGACCCAAGTTAAACTATTTAAAGGCAATGCTACCAAATATTTAACTTCTGACCCACTGGGAATGTGATGAAAGAAATAAAAGCTGAAAGAAATAATTCTCTCTACTATTATTCTGACATTTCACATTCTTAAAATAAAGTGGTGATCTTAACTGACCTAAGACGGAATTTTTACTTGGATTAAATGTCAGGAATTGTGAAAAACTGAGTTTAAATGTATTTGGCTAAGGTGTATGTAAACTTCAGACTTCAACTGTATAAGCTACGGACAACAGACACAAATGCATTTTATCGATGGCAATTTGAATGCACAGAGATACCGTGAAGAGATCCTGAGGCCCATTGTCGTGCCATTCATCCACTGCCTTCACCTCATGTTTCAGCATGATAATGCACAGCCCCATGTCCAAGGATCTGTACACAATTCCTGGAAGTTGAAAATGTCCCAGTTCTTCCATGACCTGCGTACTCACCAGACATGTCACCCATTGAGTATGTTTGGGATGCTCTGGATCGACTTGTACGACAGCGTGTTCTAGTTCCCACCAATGTCCAGCAACTTCGCACAGCCATTGAAGAGGAGTAGGACAACATTCCACATGCCACAATCAACAGCCTGATCAACTCTATGCGAAGGAGATGTGTCGGGCTGCATGAGGCAAATGGAGGTCACACCAGATACTGACTGGTTTTCTGATCCACGCTGCTACCTTTGATATCTGTGACCAACAGATGCATATCTGTATTCCTAGTCATGTGAAATCCATAGATTATGGCCTAATGAATTTATTTCAATTGACTGATTTCCTTATATGAACCGTAACTCAGTAAAATCTTTGAAATTGTTGCATGTTGCATTTATATTTTTGTTCAGTGTAGAAGAACGCTGGCTTTAACAGATCAAAATTGCATTTGAGCATGTGTTTGACAATTGAGCAGGCTTGACGCCAGCGAAAATAGTACCCCCAGTGTTTGTCTACATAGTCATCCATCCACCATCTAAAGAACCCTCAAACTAAAAGGCCTGCAGTCCCAGGAAATCAGGTTTCACCATCTGCTGGTGTATTTGTATTGGCTAATAGCATACTCATAATGGGAAACCACTGATGAATGACTCTTTAAAGGCAACAGTAACTGACAGGATCTAAATAACTAGATGGATAACCTCAGTTTCAGATACCTGGAGTTTCCAGGCAACATCCTAGTAATGTAAGATTCTCTCTTGTTCTCTCTTGTTGAAAAATGGCGGATTTGTTTTTTAACATTGCTTTTGAAGTCTCCAGAGAGTTGAAATGTTTCCAAAAGGGAGACTAAATGACATAGCATGAGAGTACTGGGCCTGCTGCCAGGTGGACAGATTGAAGCCCTGATAGATGTTAGGGTATTTTCCTACTGAAACCAAGAGTGACCTCAGGAACCTGACAGAGACAAAAAATGGTCCGCAGATGTTTAATATCTAATGTCTGGGGAAAATATTTATGATTTTACCCAAACTTAAAAAGGTGCCAATTGGGGGAGAGCAACCCTTTTGTGATATTGTCAGTGCAACATAAAAAGGAAATACATAAATGTAATGTATTTTTCAGACATTAGGACTACTGTCCTAAATGCATGGGCAGGATTCACAACCAAACCATCTACAGGATTATTTTAGATTCAAGGAATCTAGCTTTGGGAACTGTGATGGCTCAGAAGTATAGCTGACTCCTGTCTGGACAGCAGAGGGTGCAATATGGTCACATTTAGTCTACACTGGTCACTGGACAACACAAGAGTAATCCCAATCAGAGACCTGCAAACAGCTAATGGTGATAGGTGTGACCTCTGGACTAGTTGTCCCCCATGATGAAATCGGGCGGTGACTGTGGCTCTGTCTTCGTCTGTACGTTCGTTCGTACGTACGTTAGTTAGTCACACGCGATATCTCAGACAGCACTGGCCCAAAACTTGGGTGAATTATGTGTCTTGCCATAGAGATCCGGCATTTACAAAATTACACTGATTGGCCCAAGGGGGGCGCTGCATCTTTCGTGGGAAACTACATACATGTTTACTGTTGCCTTTTTTGATCATGGTTAGAGATACACCTAGCTGTCATCCGAGACAGCACTCACTTACCAAGCTGTCACCAAGCTCTCTCTCTTGCAAGACTGATTGGATAGGTCGTGTGGAGGGCTCTGTCCTTTTTCTTTCGCTTATTTCTTTCTTATTTCTATTTTCACGTGGAGAGCTAAAACAATGTTATTGTCCCCCACAATGAAATCGGAGGGGGGCTATGGATCTGTCTCCGTCCATTCGTCCGTTAGTCATGCCATAGAGATCCTGCATTTAGCTGTGGACTTGGCAGGTAGCCTAGCGGTTAAGAGTGTAGGGCCGGAAACCGAAAGGTCGCTGGTTTGAATCCCAGAGCAAACTAGGTGAAAAATCTGCTGATGTGCCCTTGAGCAAGGCACTTTAATTGCTCCTGTAAGTATCTCTGGATATAAGCGTGTCTGCTAAAATGTAGAATGACTCTCTGTTGGTCACCAAGGTGAAGGGAAAGGGGCAAAGTGGGTCCTGTAAAACAATACCCCCTCATTAAGAGCCAGAACCAACAGGCTCCATCCAAGTGCTCTGTTTCCAAGCAAGCTTGGAGAGTGCCATATATTTGAGAGATGAGGAGACTTGTTTTCATGATAATTCTGTTCTCTAGGGTGAAGTACCTTAAGAAATATGAAATACTATCCACCCTCTGTCAAATTCCCCCCTGGCCTCTTAGGGCATAGCACTCTGGATTTTAAACAGGTTCCTCTAGATAAGGAAAAAAACTAAAGTAAACTCAATGGTCCCATGGTAATACAGAGGAAGTGGACATTTTTAAGCAAGTCTCGCACCGGCTTATGTTCTTCTTCCGCTGCTGGGGAGGAAGGAGAGGATGCGCTGAGTTTCCTCAAGCCTCCCAGAGCTATGTTGTTTACATGAAATACCCTCCCTTGGCCCCATGTCCCTTCGGTGTCCTCGTTCCACCACTGTTTTCAGATACAGTATGATGGTGAAGTATTCATTACTCACTCATTCTATTTGAATACTAAAATTGTGCCAAAAGGCCAATTTGGGGCTTCTTCTTGGAGACTTTTACATTACTCCATATTCATAGTGACATATAAGAAATGTTAAATATAGTGCCAAATCTATCAAAAGCATCCTCTGACACTCACTCTCTTCTGAGCTACTACTGTATGTAATTGACAGAGCCATGTCACAAACATTTTAATATAAATATATTTATTTTGTACAGTAGATATCTTCCTGTCATTTACTTTTTGATCAATAGTGTCAAACGTGATCTATGTGACTGCATTGGTTTGAATAGTGTCTCATTTCACACTATAATCCCCACAGCAGTCTGGATGTCAGCAGCACTGGCTGCCTTGTGACTAATAGTGCCCCGTTTCTAACGGAATGGGGAAAAATGAAATGACATGGCCATAGTACCATTCTCTCTCTCGCACAGGAAGTGAAAACGTATCACCGTCTGCATCAGCTAGGGCATTTATCCCCTGTCAATGGCAAACACCCACACTTTCTCTCAAACCATCAAGCACTCCGACTGCACTTCCCTTTTTTAATCATTCCTATTAAAATCACTACACTGGAAATTGTCCCTCTGACCAGTGTAGCTAGGTAGGTTTAAATGAAAGGAAGATTTTCAAGGGTTTATTTGTGAGGGATTGCTGTCACCAGAGCTGGGTCCAGCCCCCTGTGGAAAGCACATACAGGCCCAGTGACTGATTACTCCCCAACTACAGATTCATCACAGCCAGTCAGCTGACTGCACTTTAAATAAGGTGCCCTTTGAAGACACTATTCAGGTACCATTCCTAGCAAATCCATCTCTCAGGGATGGTCAAATCAACTGGTCTGTCTGGAAATACTGCTGAGCTGATAAGAGAGTAAATTAAGAGATTATTTTCAAAATGCTACAGTACACTGCTTGACTTGGGCAGAAGCTTACCAGAGCTGAGTACCAGCACCTCAAATTTCCTTCTGCTTGAGTTCCTGTTTCTCTTATAGAATATTAGCACAAAAGTATTGTTGAGCTTCAAAATGAATACCGAAACCCATTTCAGTCCAAGTCAAGCACTGCTATAGTACAGTGCCTTGCAAATGTATTCATCCCCCTTGGCATTTTTCCTATTTTGTTGCCTTACAACCTGTAATTTAAATGGATTTTTATTTGGATTTCATGTAATGGACATACACTAAATACTCCAATTTGGTGAAGTGAAATGAAAAAAATAACTTGTTTCAAATAATTCTACAAAATAAATAACAGAAAAGTGGTGCGTGCATATGTATTCACCCCCTTTGCTATGAAGCCCCTAAATGAGATTTGGCGCAACCATTTACCTCCAGAAGTCACATAATTAGTTAAATAAAGTCCACCTGTGTGCAATCTAAGTGTCACATGATCTGTCACATGATCTCAGTATACCTGTTTTGAAATGCCCCAGAGTCTGCAACACCACTAAGCAAGGGGCACCACCAAGAAAGCGGCACCATGAAGACCAAGGAGCTCTCCAAACAGGTCAGGGACAAAGTTGTGGAGGAGTACAGATCAGGGTTGGGTTATAAAAAATATCTGAAACTTTGAACATCCCACAGAGCACCATTAAAATCCATTATTAAAAAATGGAAAGAATATGGCACCACAACAAACCTGCCAAGAGAGGGCCGCCCACCAAAACTCACGGACCAGGCAAGGAGGGCATTAATCAGAGGCAACAAAGAGACCAAAGATAACCCTGAAGGAGCTGCAAAGCTCCACAGCGGAGATTGGAGTATCTGTCCACAGGACCACTTTAAGCCGTACACTCCACAGAGCTGGGCTTTACGGAAGAGTGGCCAGAAAAAAGTTGCTTAAAGAAAGAAATAAGCAAACACATTTGGTGTTCGCCAAAAGCCATGTGGGAGACTCCCCAAACATATGGAAGAAGGTACTCTGGTCAGATGAGAATAAAATGGAGCATTTTGGCCATCAAGGAAAACACTATTTCTGGCGCAAACCCAACACCTATCATCACCCCGAGAACCAATTTGTAAGTCTCTCTGGATAAGAGTGTCTGCTAAATGATGAAATGTAATGAAAATAACACCATCCCCACAGTGAAGCATGGTGGTGGCAGCATCATGCTGTGGGGATGTTTTGAATCGGCAGGGACAGAGAAACTGGTCAGAATTGAAGGAATGATGGATGGCGCTAAATACAGGGAAATTCTTGAGGGAAACCTGTTTCAGTCTTCCAGAGATTTGAGACTGGGACGGAGGTTCACCTTCCAGCAGGACAACGACCCTAAGCATACTGCTAAAGCAACACTTGAGTGGTTTAAGGGGAAACATTTAAATGTCTTGGAATGGCCTAGTCAAAGCCCAGACCTCAATCCAATTGAGAATCTGTGGTATGACTTAAAGATTGCTGTACACCAGCGGAACCCATCCAACTTGAAGGAGCTAGAGCAGTTTTGCCTTGATGAATGGACAGAAATCCCAGTGGCTAGATGTGCCAAGCTTATAGAGACATACCCCAAGAGACTTGCAGCTGTAATTGCTGCAAAAGGTGGCTCTACAAAGTATTGAAAAAATATTTTGCATCTTCAAAGTGGTGGGCATGTTGTGTAAATCAAATGATACAAACCCCCGAAAAATAATTTTAAATTTCAGGTTGTAAAATGTAAAAATGCCAAGGGGGGTGAATACTTTCGCAAGCCACTGTATATGCAAAACATTTTCACATTTGTATTTTTTTCATCATAAATGATTGCTTATGGATACTTTCATGAGTGTGTAAAATATTACTGTTATCAGATTTTAGAGGTGTATGAAAATGTGTTCTTTAGCAAAACGCTATATATCCATTGTTTAGCTGGAATGGAATGCTCGTATCATGTATATTTGACTGTGATACAGTATGTGGTTGTCTAACCTAGCTATCTTAAGATGAATGCACTTACTGTAAGTAACGCTGGATAATAGCATCTGCTAAATGTGCAAGTTTTACATCCAGATCTCTTATTACTGTGTTGAATTATTATTATAATTTTTTATATATTGATGTCACAAATGTGTACAGTTCTTTATAGAAAATGTAATTATTTGTTACATTTCACTGTGTAAATCCTAGCAGTACAACTTATTTCTCTGAGTGAGGCGGATATATAGCATTTTGCAAAAAAAACAGGATTATTTGTCTCTCTGAAATGAGACCATCAAGTTATATATTTTAAATAACTACGTCTGTCATTGATCAACCCTATACCATGATTAGATAGTTTAAAAAAACACCCCGATCACTTTTATAATTTCTTTAAACAGTAAAAGCTAATGGAAATGGATATATAGCATTTTGGAATGAAACTCTTCAAATCCCAAGGACCGACCTGTGCTTTAAAACAGCATCACCTCACTTATATGATTAAGTAGACTGTAGGATTAATGGAAGACAGACATGAGTTGTTCACCCAGACACTCTATCAATCATAAAATAAGGCAGTATATCAGTACATTTTGGTTGGTTTATCAGTTAATGAACATTGCTCTTATACTAAGGCTCAGTTTATTGTGCATTTCTTGAACCTTTTAATTACTTTTACCAACCCAACAATCACTAAATACAAACCAGGGAAGTACTTTAATTGCTGAGTTTGTCTTTAAATATATGAATGCAAGACAAAATTTCATGTACAATTGGTTTGTATCAATTGATAAGAAAGCAAGTCAAACAGCCAATAATGTAACAATTATAGGCAAGGATAAACTTCTGATGACAACATGAGATGACAGTGACAGCAAAATAATATTAACAAACAGTAATAATAGTGATCATGGAACCAATAATGAAATACTGTCAATATTTACCCAGTTTGGTCTGAATGTGTGCAATCATCATTCTGTGAATATTTATGGTAAAATGCGCCACGACTCATTTCCATTATGGATTTGTTCTTCTTGTCAATTAAATTTGTGCTCCAGGGTCTGATTGCATAAAACATCTTAAGTGTTTCCCTTAAGGCTTTCCCTTAAGTATTAATTTCCACTTACTTATGGGAATTGTTTAAGAGCCCCTCAATCGTTTCCCTTAGGTAAGGGGTTTTACGGTAGTCTCTGGTTACCATGGAGATGACCTGATTCACTGTCTGAATGTGATCTCTTGTCAAATAAATCACATTTATTTTGGGAGTTCACATAATATAACTTCTACATTCAAGACAGGAGAAACAAATTGATTCAGAAGATAATAAAACACGTTTCTTGTAGTTACTTTTTTCTCAACTTGTTTCCATTACTTTCTAGCACATTAAGTTAACTCACATAGTAGGTAGCTAGCAAGCTAGCCAGGTAGCTTTGTAGCCATGGATTGTGCACCTTCCATTGTTTAGCTAAGTAGCTAGCTAGCTAGCTATACACCTAGCTTGCTGGTTGATGTTTTCCTTTTGCAACCAGGGCAACTGACTTAAAGGTAAGGAAACTTTAAGGGAAAAGATAACTGGAAAATTAACTTAAGGTGTTTTATATAAAACATCTTAAGTGTTTACCTTAAGGATTAATTTTCCCTTACCTAAGGGAATTGTTTAAGGACGTTGCATAGCGCCCCTCAAATATTTCCTTAGGTAAGGGCATACTTAAGGGGTTTTATGGTAGTTTGAAGGCATGTATGGCAGAAAGAGTATATTGTTACCATGGAGACAGCCTGATTCACTGACTAAACTTCTCCTCAAAGAGATCGCTTTCATTTTGTAAGATAGCTAAATATAACCTCTACAATCAAGACAGGATAACCAAATTGCTTCAGAAGATAATAAACCACATTTCTACAGTAGCTTACAGAGTAGCTATAGCAACAAGCCAGCTAGTTTGTAGCCATGGATTGTGCACCTTCCATTGTTTAGCTAAGTAGCTAGCTGGTTGATGTTTTCCTTTTGTCACCAGTGCAGATGAAAGCAACATTCACCTCCACAAATGCTGTTTACATTGATATCCATACTGAATGAAGCAGTTAAAGGACCTCCTTGGCACCCTTAACTTTTTCACTTAATTTAAGGGGGAAATTTACCTTAAAATGTTTTGTGCAACTGACTTAAAGTTAAGGAAACTTTAAAGGAAAAGATGAGGGGGAAATTAACTTAAGGTGTTTTATGCAACCAGGCCCAGGCCCTGAAAACGCAGTTGGCCTCAGTATATCTACCCATTTCAGAGAAAGTCTACCACAGTGTTAGGGCCAGAAATTAAGGCATTTTGTATTGAACAGTTGTCCTGGGAAGTTGCATTGTATGTTGATCTAAGCATCCTAGTGACTAAGACCTATTGTGATGTGTAATTACTGCTACACCATACTGCAAGTAAGTGTTTATCCCAAACTATTAGCTTGGAATGGAGTCTCTACAGACCCAGGGTTACAGCATAGATAGTCAACACCTTGTTCAGGGGTGTCGGCCCAGCCGCCTGTAGTTGTGTAACCCTCCACCCAACACCAGTAACACGAGGAGCCAAGTTTGGATCAGTATTTTGGACAATGCTTTGACATGGTTGTCTCGGGCAAACTCTCTTGGCGTCACTGCCTTGTCGCCACAGTGTGAATGAATCATTGAAGCTGCCTAGGGGTTCAAGGGCAGATCAGGTCCAGTGTTGGCCACTTCTTTAAAGCCATCACTTTGTATGATTGTGCCACTTAAGGAGGTGCCGAAAAGAGATCCCAGGAAAAATCAGTGTGCCCCAAAGTAATTGACTTTCACCTGCCATGACAGCTGCCGGGAGCCCATATCAGTCCTATTGCTTTCCTCAGAGGAACCAGAGAAGTCATATGGGGAATGTAAGCCCCCAGATCCCCTGTCACTCTGTCTGTCACTCAGCTCTCATACACAAGTCTTTAGCTCAAATGGAACATAAAGAGCTTCCATAAGGTTCCTATGCTGCGTATGAAGACCAGGGGCTTGTGCTGCTACTGTAGCCTATCCCTTGGCCCCTGTAGCTTGGCCCCTGTCCCCTGGCCTTGTAGCCTGGCCCCTCTCCCCTGGCCTTGTAGCCTGGCCCCTGTCCCCTGTCGCTGGCCTTTCTCTCACCTTTTGATCCTGCCCACCTGTTCACACATGATGGACAGGTACTGGGTGAGCTTCACCATGGCGATGATGATGGTTCCACCAATGAGGGTGCAGGTGGGCCAAAAGAGTGAGTGGAACACTGCCAATCGTCCATAGATGCGTGTCAGTAGAGCATTGTCCTGCTGTTCACCTGGGTCCATGTAACACAGCACCTGCTGCTGTGTTTTCAGACGCTCCGAGATGTTCATGACTACAGTATGGATCGCATTGTAGTCCTTCCGACATTTGGGCACATAGAAGCACTAAGAGAACAAAGACAGCTTTATTATGAATACGGTGGGTTAAGTGTGTGTCTTGGATGAGTTGAATTGGAATTTAACCTCTAGAATTTGTTTTCAGCTGCAAGTTTTTTCCATCCCCTCAAGTAATGTAGTGAGGTGGAGTCGTCTGAAGTTAATTAGAACTCTTGGGGTCCTTTCGTTTCCATGGTTTTTATTGTGATGAACTATTTATTTATTTGTAGTGAATTAGGGTGGATTAAACCATATTGTTTTCTCATTGTTACAGGGCAATTCCACGTGACAGAGTGACGCTGAGAATCAGATCACAGTTAATAAAATGTTGCTTTATTATATTTTTCACTTAAAAATGTATGTCAAAGAAAAACCAATGATTGCAAAGTTAAACAAACAATACAACTCTATGCACAAGGACTACTTTTAACAATTTCTACAGACAATTTTACAAAAACTATTACTTGAAGACCAGTGCAGACCAACTGGGCACACCACATAATTTCAATGTGGAAATGTGGGTAATATTTGGTTGAGATGTTGATCAATGAGATTTCAACCTTTATTCACCCACTCAAAAAGGCAGCCAGAAGTTTGTTGAATTCCCAATGAGTTGTCACTCTGCTTTCAACCATCTAAAAGCATAACCAAATTCCAATGAAAAAACAATGTCTGATTTTTGGTTTAGTTGTCATCTAAATGTGTTTTCACTGCGCTTCCAACTATTTAAAAAGCACAAAAAAGTTCAAATGGTAATACAATGTCAGATATTTTGTGTTTATACAACAAGTTCATGTTTTATCACTGTGCTTTATCTAATAGCACAACCAAATGACCTGGATTGTGGTTGAGATTACATTAAAACAGCGGTGTCAAACTCATTCCATGGAGGGGCTAGTGTCTTCTGGTTTTTGGTTTTTCCTTTAGATTAAGACCTAGACAACCAGGTGAGGGGAGTTCCTTACTAACTAGTGACCTTAATTCATCAATCAAGTACAAGGGAGGAGCGAAAACCCGCAGACACTTGGCACTCCGTGGAATGAATTTGACGTGTGCATTAAAAGTACATAGAGCAAGTGATCAATTCTGTTAGAGATTCTGTGAAGACTATTATAGCAATTGTGAAGCTTTGCATGCTATCTTGAACATGCACGCTTTCTATGATTACATAAGAAGACATTTATAGTTACAGTAGGCTAACCTCAATACGTGGCCATGGATGTGTTACTCATTTTAAGGTTGAATAAATATTGTTACATTAGTTTGTAAGATAACCTTAAATTGAGGCTATTTACTTTATTACAAAATAAATATTGAATTGTGTTTGGTTGACAACGCAACCAAATATCATTTGAAGGATATCTAATGCCTGGATAGTTTCAACTGAGCCACTGGCTTAATCCTATAACTTTTATTTTTGGTTTAGTTGGAGACTTGAATCCAACATACAATGCCTTCAGAAAGTATTCACACCCCTTGACTTTTTCCACATTTTGTTGTGCTTCAGCCTGAATTTAAAATGGATTACATTGATATTTTGTGTCACTGGCCTACATACAATACCCCATAATGTCAAAGTGGAATTATGTATTTAGAAATGTTTACTAATTCATTAAAAATGAAAGGTTGAAATGTCTTGAGTTCATAAGTATTTAACCCCTTTGTTTTGGCAAGCCTAAATAAGTTCAGGAGTAAAAATGTGCTTAACAAATCACATAATAAGTTGTACGGACTCACTTTGTGTGCAACAATAGTGTTTTTGAACACAAAGTGCACACACAGTTATCTTCCATTCACTTTTTCAACTGGTACCGGGGGACCTTTAGATGAGTCTTGTGAAGCCTGTGGGTGTCCTAGAGCAAAACAACCGACATGTACACTACCAGTCATAAGTTTGGACACACCTACTTATTCAAGGGTTTTTCTTTATTTTTTACTATTTTTTACATTGTAGAATAATAGTGAAGACATCAACACTATGAAAGAACACATATGGAATCATGACATGAAGGTCAGTCAATACGGACCATTTCCAGAACTTTGAAAGTTTCTTCAAGTGCAGTCACAAAAACCATCAAGAGCTATGATGAAACTGGCTCTCATGAGGACCGCCACAGGAATGGAAGACCCAGAGTTACCTCTGCTGCAGAGGATAAGTTCATTAGAGTTACCAGCCTCCGAAATTGCTGCCCAAATAAATGCTTCACAGAGTTCAAGTAACAGACACATCTCAACATCAACTGTTCAGAGGAGACTGTGTGAATCAGGCCTTCATGGTCAAATTGTTGCAAAGAAACCACTACTAAAGGACACCAGTAAGAAGAAGAGACTTGCTTGGGCATAGAAACACGAACAATGGACATTAGACCGGTGGAAATATGTCCTTTGGTCTGGAGTTCAAATTGGAGATTATTGGTTCCAACCGCCGTGTCTTTGTGAGACGCGGTGTGGGTGAACGGATGATCTCTGCATTTGTTTTTCCCACCGTAAAGCATGGAGGAGGAGGTGTTATGGTGTGGGGGTGCTTTGCTGGTGACACTGTCAGTGATTTATTTAGAATTGAAGGCACACTTAACCAGCATGGCTACCACAGCATTCTGCAGCGATACGCCATCCCATCTGGTTTGGGCTTAGTGGGACTATAATTTGTTTTTCAACAGGACAATGACCCAACACACCTCCAGGCTGTGTAAGGGCTATTTTACCAAGAAGGAGGGTTTTGGAGTGCTGCAACAGATGACCTGGCCTGCACAATCCCCCGACCTCAACCCTATTGAGATGGTTTGGGATGAGTCGGACCGCAGAGTGAAGGAAAAGCAGCCAACAAGTGCTCAGCATATGTGGGAACTCCTTCAAGACTGTTGGAAAAGCATTCCAGGTGAAGCTGGTTGAGAGAATGCCAAGAGTGTTCAAAGCTGTCATCAAGGCAAAGGGTGGCTATTTGAAGAATCTCAAATATAAAATATATTTTGATTTGTTTAACACTTTTTTGGTTACTACATGATTCCATATGTGTTCTTTCATAGTGTTGATGTCTTCACTATTATTCTACAATGTAGGAAATAGTAAAAATAAAGAAAAACCCTGGAATGAGTAGGTGTGTCCAAACTTTTGACTGGTACTGTATGTCTCATCTTTCCATAGAGGGGTCATAATACTTTGTAGGCCAAACCATTCGGACGCTACAGACGATTTTATGAGAATTTCGGGATTTATCATGGTCTGACAAACACCGCTCTAGCTCTGTCACCATTCACCGCAGATGCGGAAGTGCGACATAGGTGAATGTGGTGGATTGAGACGTATCCAATCCAAAACCAGCTATCTCTATCATTTTCATTTACATTTTATCTCTATCTTAAACTGACAGATTATTATGGGGGCTTTTTTATTATGCTAATTAGATTTCCGCAGGGGAGTGGACATCGACCTTAGGGGGTTTTAACTTTGATTTTTGTTTGAAATGGAGACTTGAATCCAATATATTAATGATTAACTTGAAGATTAAATTTGTTGAGAAACCCTAGGCCGATATGTATTGTCTATTTTTAGTTGAACCCTGGGTTGAATTGAAACAATAGCTGTTGATGACTTTGCAAATGCTATACAGTGCATTCGGAAGGTATTCAGACCCCGTGACTTTTTCCACATTTTGTTATGTTACAGCCTTATTCTAAAATGAATTAAATATTTTTTCCCCCTCATCAATCTACACACAATAACCCATAATGACAAAGTAAAAACAGGTTGTTAGACATTTCTGCTAATTTATTAAAAATAAAAAACTATATTACATTTGCATAAGTATTCAGACCCTTTACTCAGTACTTTGTTGAAGCACCTTTGGCAGCGATTACAGCCTTGAGTCTTCTTGGGTGTGACGCTACAAGCTTGGCACACCCGTATTTGGGGAGTTTCTTCTCTGCAGATCTTCTCAAGCTCAGTCAGGTTGAATGGGGAGCGTCACTGCACAGCTATTTACAGGACTGGCAGGGACAGTCAAGGACATTCAGAGACTTGTCCCGAATCCACTCCTGCGTCGTCTTGGCTGTGTGCTTAGGGTCGTTGTCCTGTTGGAAGGTGAACCTTTGCCCCAGTCTGAGGTACTAAGCGCTTTGGAGCAGGTTTTCATCAAGGATCTCTCTGTACTTTGCTCCATTCATCTTTCCCTCAATCCTGACTAGTCTCCCAGTCCCTGCCGCTGAAAAATATCCCCACAGCAAGATGCTGCCACCACCATGCTTCACCGTAGGGATGGTGCCAGGTTTCCTCCAGACGTGATACTTGGCAACAGAGAATCTTGTTTCTCATGGTCTGAGAGTCCTTTAGGTGCCTTTTGGCAAACTCCAAGTGGGCTGTCATGTGCCTTTTTACTGAGGAGTGGCTTCCATCTGGCCACTCTACCATAAAGGCCTGATTGGTGGCGTGCTGCAGAGATGGTTGTCCTTCTGGAAGGTTCTCCTATCTACACAGAGGAACTCTGGAGCTCTGTCAGAGTGACCATCGGAAATCGGAAATACCTTATTTACATAAGTATTCAGACCCTTTGCTATGAGACTCTACATGTAGAGTCTCATAGCAAAGGGTCTGAATACTTATGTAAATAAGGTATTTCTGTTTTTTATTTTTAATACATTTGCGAAAATTTCTTAAAACCTGTTTTTGCATTGTCATTATGGGGTATTGTGTGTAGGAAAATGATGAGGGAAAAAAACGATTTAATCCTTTTTAGAATAAGGCTGTAACTTAACAAAATGTGGAAAAAGTCAAGGGGTCTGAATACTTTCCGAATGCACTGTATAGGCCTAAATAGTATCATTGATGATATATGACTTATAAAATATGGTAACATTTTATTTGCTTTGTTAAGCCTACCCTTTGGAATGACTTCGATAGCAACACAGTGAATATATTTAGTTATTAAGAGATCTCTCAATAATCATTCTCATGGTAGCACATTGGTAGTAGTCAGGGACAAATATCAAAGCTAAGAAGGACTGGGCGTGGTTAGAACCCTGGATGGGATACCAAATGAATAGCTGTAGATTGATCAATTCTCCAGTAAGAGGTGCTGCCCAACCTATAACTTTTTTTCGGATTGTTTCAAAGGTACAAATTCAACATATTTTATGCCAGGTTTGTCTATGTTGAAAATTGGTCACAATGATGACATAATCCTGTGCTTGAAATTTCACCATCAAAACAACAATTCATGACTTTTAAAAAATAGAATGTATGAGTCTACGTCACAATACGTTGACAAATTACGTTGAAACAACGTTGATTCAACCAATTTGTGTCTTGTGGGGACGCAAAGTTTGGTAACAGAATGACGGTTTGTGCTGTTGGTGCCACCATTCTGTTACCAAATTTGCATCTGCACTGTTCTTCAAGTAAATGTGTTTTTGTACAATTTTCAGTGGAAATTGTTAAAAGTAGTACTTGTGCATAGAGTTGTATGGTTTGTTTAACTTTACAATCATTGGTTTTTGTTTGACATTTTAAAGTGAAAAATCTGAGTTTCAGCATCACTCTTATCGTGGAATTGCCCTACATTAAATTAATTATATGGTAAATACATATTTCATAGCTGTGCTAATGTACTGTTTTGTATTGAATCATTTGATTGCACATTGCTACCACATAATTTCTTAGTAAAGATGAGTAAAACCAGGTGTATATTACTGTAGCTGAAGCAGGACAATGAAATAAAGGGTTACTATTAGACATGTTACGTTTAGGCATGTCCTCTGTCTCACCTCTGGGTTGGTGTCCTGTGCCTCCTCATTGTGGGAGAGTCGGACGACCTTCCCGGATGTGTTGAGACTGACAAACACCTGTAGGCATGGGTACTTGGAGCTTTTCCAGCACTCGGAGCCACAGCTGTAGGTACAGTTAATCTCTGCCACGATGGTGGAGTTGAGCACAGTGCAGCTGGATTCCTCCGTCCACACACTACATGGCATTGCATGGGGGTGGACAGGGTTGGGAGCAGAATTAAAGAGTTACTGACCTGTGTATAGCTCTACCCAGGTGCCCTCCGAAATATTGCTGTCTGGATGCCACACAAGTTAGTTCAACATCAAGAACAACTGTATTCAACAACACAACACCCATGACTAACATTGAATTACATGAAAAAGGAGAGGTTGTAGGAATTTGCGAGAGACTGCATGATATGAAGCAGACTGAATCAGTTGAATAGTAGAAATGGGAGAAAAGATCGACAACACTAGCAAATAGCAGATTGTAGTGATTATCTCTAGCTAAATTCCAAAGTCTGTCCACTTTACCGGTGTCTCTTAACCTCTTGAATATCCCAGCATGCTTTACGTACTGATATATGGAAATTGATCTTAGATCTAGGGAAAAGTAATCCAGCAATGTCTGTCCCTTTTGAATATCTCTGTCATCTATTTTGAATAACTTGCTTTTCACTTTCTCCTATAGGATAAATGTTGCACTGCCTTTGAAAATGAAAGCCTTTTTCACTGAATCCAAATAGAAAAGGAAAGACTTGAGGTGGAATTAAATAAAAAATAGCAGCACACTGTGGTTTAGAATGACATTGGCGTCTTGCAGTGTAATTGATGCTGTATTGTGATAGGCTATTGTGTGCTGAAGTTTGTCCCCTGTGTCCCCTGCATGCGTGCTGTAACAGTTCCATTGAGCTCATAGTGCAAATGCTACTCATAAGCCTCAGCTGCAGCTGGCATCTTAATTGCCTCTGACTGCAATTTATGTCCACAACTAAAGTATAGAGGGACCACACCATTTTGGAATGCACAGTTTTAGCTACCGAGTTGTAGCTCCCGGGAGGGGCTAATATAGAGGGATTATGTGGTTGTACTTTACAGACAGTTTGGCTAACTGGTGTGTTTCAGTGACAGTTCAGACAGCATTTGAGACATTATCCTAGACGTTAATCCAAGATGGCGTAGCAGTGCGGTCGTGTATTCTGTAGTGTGCTCGTGTAAATAGCCAGTTTTTTGTTTTTTTCGTATATATTTCTCAATCTCACTTTTCATCCTTCAACTAAATATACTTTCCTGCAACCCGCCTCACCCAATGTGGAACAGATTCTATTATTATTTCTTATACCTTTTTATCTAGAACCTCCGGCTGAAACTAGCCAGCTAACTAGCTACTTGCTATTAGCCACCGTTAGTGGTTTTCACCATAGTCCGTGGCCAGCACTACCTACCAGCCAGCTCTAGCCTGGACAATTATCGGCCAGTCTGCACAGTCTGCACAGCGCGCTATATCGACCCAGAACATATCGGATTTTCTGCCGGAATCACTGAATCACTGGACCTTAACACCGGATCATCGCAACTAGCTAGCTGCAACCGAATGGATGTTGTTGTTGGCTAATCACTACTGTACCGAAGCAAGCACCAGTTAGCCTTGAGCTAGCCTCGAGCCAGGCCCATCTCCCGGCTATCTACCTCTCTGTCAACCGGACGGGACCTCTTAGTGTCGACACGGAGCCCCGATGATCCATCACGACTGGTCTGCCGACGTAATCGTCTGATGTGGTTTCAACAGGCTTCCAGTTGCGACGACCACAAAGATCCATCTGCTTGCCCCTGCCCGCTAGCACATGCAATCAACAGCCGTGCCTCCTGCTCGCCTATGCTGTAGCAGCCATCGAACTGCTCCCACTCACTTATTGCTGTTCACTGGACCTTATGATCCCTCAGCTACACAGCTGATGCCTGCTGGACCATTCCTTTCCATGGTACCCCATCCTTTTTATCTGTCCTGTTTATCTGTTTAGCCTCAGCCCAAACTTTCGTCGCCATTACCAGTTGTTGTCTTAGCTCTCTCGAATAACACCTGTGATTGCTTTATGCCTCTCCCATGTCAATATGCCTTGCCTATTGCTGTTTCGGTTAGTTCTTTTTATTCAATTTCACTGAATAAAAATAATCTATTCTACAACGCCCAGAAATCTGCCCCTTTTATTCTCTGTACCCAACGCACTAGAAGACCAGTTCTTAAAGCCTTTAGCCGTATCCTTATTCTACTCTTCCTCTGTTCCTCTGGTGATGTAGAGGTCAACCCAGGCCCTGTAGCACCCAGTATCACTCCTACTCCCCAGGCGCTATCATTTGTTGACTTCTGTAACCGTAAAAGCTTGGTATCTTGCATGTTAACATCAGAAGCCTCCTCCCTAAGTTTGAGTTATTCACTGTGTTAGCACACCCCGTCAACCCGGATGTTCTAGCAGTGTCTGACTCCTGGCTTGGGAAGGCCACAAAAAACTCTGACATTTCCATCCCCAACTACAAAATGTTCCGTCTAGATAGAACTGCCAAAAGGGGCGGAGTTGCAATCTACTGTAGAGATAGCCTGCAGAGCTCTATCATACTATCCAGGTCTGTGCCCAAACAGTTTTAGCTTCTACTTCTAAAAATCCACCTTTCCAGAAATAAGTCTCTCACTGTTGCCGCTTTCTACAGACCCCCCTCAGACCCCAGCTGTGCCCTGGACACCATATGTGAATTGATTGCACCCCATCTATCCTCAGAGTTCGTACTGCTTGGTGACCTAAACTGGGATATGCTTAACAACCCGGCCGTCCTACAATCTAAACTACACTGCTCAAAAAAATAAAGGGAACACTTAAACAACACAATGTAACTCCAAGTCAATCACACTTCTGTGAAATCAAACTGTCCACTTAGGAAGCAACACTGATTGACAATACATTTCACATGCTGTTGTGCAAATGGAATAGACAACAGGTGGAAATTATAGGCAATTAGCAAGACACCCCCAATAAAGAAGTGGTTCTGCAGGTGGTGACCACAGACCACTTCTCAGTTCCTATGCTTCCTGGCTGATGTTTTGGTCACTTTTGAATGCTGGCGGTGCTTTCACTCTAGTGGTAGCATGAGACAGAGTCTACAACCCACACAAGTGGCTCAGGTAGTGCAGCTCATCCAGGATGGCACATCAATGCGAGCTGTGGCAAGAAGGTTTGCTGTGTCTGTCAGCGTAGTGTCCAGAGCATGGAGGCGCTACCAGGAGCCAGGCCAGTACATCAGGAGACGTGGAGGAGGCCGTAGGAGGGCAACAACCCAGTACCTCCGTTACCACTACCTCCGTCTTTGTGCAAGGAGGAGCAGGGGGAGCACTGCCAGAGCCCTGCAAAATGACCTCCAGCAGGCCACAAATGTGCATGTGTCTGCTCAAACGGTCAGAAACAGACTCCATGAGGGTGGTATGAGGGCCCGACGTCCACAGGTGGGTGTTGTGCTTACAGCCCAACACCGTGCAGGACGTTTGGCATTTGCCAGAGAACACCAAGATTGGCAAATTCGCCACTGGCGCCCTGTGCTCTTCACAGATGAAAGCAGGTTCACACTGAGCACATGTGACAGACGTGACAGAGTCTGGAGACGCCGTGGAGAACGTTCTGCTGCCTGCAACATCCTCCAGCATGACCGGTTTGGCGGTGGGTCAGTCATGGTGTGGGGTGGCATTTCTTTGGGGGGCCGCACAGCCCTCCATGTGCTCGCCAGAGGTAGCCTGACTGCCATTAGGTACCGAGATGAGATCCTCAGACCCCTTGTGAGACCATATGCTGGTGCGGTTGGCCCTGGGTTCCTCCTAATGCAAGACAATGCTAGACCTCATGTGGCTGGAGTGTGTCAGCAGTTCCTGCAAGAGGAAGGCATTGATGCTATGGACTGGCCCGTCCGTTCCCCAGACCTGAATCCAATTGAGCACATCTGGGACATCATGTCTCGCTCCATCCACCAACGCCACGTTGCACCACAGACTGTCCAGGAGTTGGCGGATGCTTTAGTCCAGGTCTGGGAGGAGATACCTCAGGAGACCATCCGCCACCTCATCAGGAGCATGTCCAGGCGTTATAGGGAGGTCATACAGGCACGTGGAGGCCACACACACTACTGAGCCTCATTTTGACTTGTTTTAAGGACATTACATCAAAGTTGGATCAGCCTGTAGTGTGGTTTTCCACTTTAATTTTGAGGGTGACTCCAAATCCAGACCTCCATGGGTTGATACATTTGATTTCCAGTGATAATTTTTGTGTGATTTTGTTGTCAGCACATTCAACTATGTAAAGAAAAAAGTATTTAATAAGATTATTTCATTCATTCAGATCTAGGATGTGTTGTTTAAGTGTTCCCTTAATTTTTTTGAGCAGTGTAGATACCCTCAATCTCACACAAATTATCAAGGAACCTACCAGATACAACCCTAAATCCGTAAAAATGGGCACCCTCATAGATATCATCCTGACTAATTTACCCTCTAAATACACCTCTGCTGTCTTCAACCAGGATCTCAGCGATCACTGACTCATTGCCTGCGTCCGTAATGGGTCCGCGGTCAAAAGACCACTACTCATCACTGTCAAACGCTTCCTAAAACACTTCAGAGAGCAGGCCTTTCTAATTGACCTGGCCCGGGTATCCTGGAGGATATTGACCTCATTCCGTCAGTAGAGGATGCCTGGTTGTTCTTTAAAAGTGCTTTCCTCTCCATCTTAAATAAGCATGCCCCATTCAAAAAATGCAGAACTAAGAACAGACATAGCCCCTGGTTCACCACAGACTTGACTGCCCTTGACCAGCACAAAAACATCCTGTGGCGTACTGCATTAGCATCAAACTGCCCTCGCGATATGCAACTTTTCAGGGAAATCAGGAACCAATATAAACAATCAGTTAGGAAAGCAAAGGCTAGCTTTTTCAAACAGAAATTTGCATCCTGTAACACTAACTCCAAAAGGTTTTGGGACACTGTAAAGTCCATGGAGAATAAGAGCACCTCCTCCCAGCTGCCCACTGCACTGAGGCTAGGAAACACTGTCACCACCGATAAATCTACGATAATCGAGAATTTGAATAAGCATTTTGCTACGGCTGGCCATGCTTTCCACCTGGCAACCCCTACCCCGGCCACCAGCTCTGCACCCTCCGCTGCA